GGCGAGCCGGCTCCGGGGACCCCGCGCCGATCTCTGCTCTCAGCGCCTGCAGGAAAAAAGTTTTGTTTTCAAGTGGGTGGACCTGCCCCGCTGGCCTCACCTCCTGCGCAGAACCCGCCTTCCAGCGCGTCGGGGCCGTTATCACCACCAGCGAGCCCGCGCGGGTTTAGTGCGGGGGGAGAACCCCCCCAACATCATCAACAACAAAAAACAGCAACAAAAAACCCCCAGAGAATCCCCCCGTTCGTCTTCATCATTTACCACAGCTTCCCCCCGCCGCCCCAGTCTAAACAGAGGTTCCAATTACGTTTCCCTATGAGCCAAGAAGATAAATACGGCGGAAAGCGAGAGTCCATATGACAGGAACGATTTTTCCACACTCCCAAATCGCAAAGCCCAGGCGAATTCCTATAGCTCACACTTCCAACACCCACCTCACTACTTGTCCTCCTGCTAATGCCTCCGAGATCCCGTGATAAAACCTTTCTCATTAAGCTAAAATAGAAGCACCTGAGCTGCCGAAGCGTTTCTCCAGCTCTGAGCTCCCGCAGGTGTTGCAGATTAACACCAGCGTCCCGATGGCATCCCGAACAGAGGGTGCGGAGGCTGGCTGCCCCCACTACCTGCAGAACTAGCCCGCGTTTCTCCGTGAGCGGCCGTGAGTTACGGCACCCGTTCTCCACGATCACAAATCTTGTCCGCAGTAGTCCCTCACACCAAACACTGATGCAGTTCTCGGGCATTAGAGGAGACTAAAGCAGCAGCTTGTCCGTCACAAATGAGGTAAATAACCGGGTGTCTGCTCCTCGGCACGTATTTAACAAGCCAGCTGCTTTTAATTAAACTTATCGTTATGTTTCCATCTTCCCCCTTACCTCTTTGTTTCAGCCCCGCCTGACCATGGATGCAGAAACGCGTCGTTGAGTCTCGGTAAAGCGATCTGAGAGAATTGCCCGTACGTTTACAAACACGATGGGCTTGATAAAAGGGAATTCTCCTTTTGAGGAGCTGTGTGAAAGGAGAAGTCCCCTATTTTTCTCCCTCTAAAAAAGATGATCGTTGTTTGAAATCCCCGGGCTCGATCCTGCAGGACCATAAGTGAACGAGCAGCTGTGCCGAGTCACGGTAATGCCAGGATGTCCCGTCAATCACTCGTTTGTCCAGCGCTTTTAACCGATCGAACCCTGGCAGAATCTCACAGACATTCGCTCTCGCTGTCCCCGACACCGCTACCTCAGCGAGGCAAGTAGGGCTCTGGAGTTTGTTCTGGCCGCGACGTGGCTTAGTGCACGGCGACCGACGCTCGGCGCGGCGGCCGGAGCCCCGAGT